GTTATGCGGAAAAAAAGAAAGTAGAATGTTGTAGAAGAAGAGTAGTAGTGGTAGTAGTAGTGGTAGTAGTAGTATGTATGAATTTTGATACTTCACACTTTTTTATAGATATATGACAATAGAAGAAAGGGAAAAATTCATTCTTTTATTCGATAATGGCTTTTAAGTTAAAAGAGCTCTCGATGGTGTGAAAATCACAATATGACTTTACATCCAACATCCAAATCTGTCTTAAATATCGTATTTCTCCTCTTTCTCTCTCTCTCTCTCTCTCTCTCTCTCTCTCTCACTGTTATTATTATACTTCTTTTAATATTTATTCCGTTTTTTTCTCTCTCTCTCTCTCCAACGTTTAATTTTAGTTATAAAAATACCAGAGATGATGATGATGATGATGGTGATGGTGATGGTGTTGGTGATGGTGATGGTGATGATGGTGACACCGTGAGTGAGTCATTATTATCTAACTCTTAAAAAAAAAATGAAAAAAATGGTCTTTTAAGTAGATTACGTGCCTCAGGTTAGAATTTACCACCAACATTATTTTATTATGCTTAAGAATAAAAAAAAAAAATTTAATTAAATAAAAGGTGCAAAAAACGGTTACAATCGTTAATTTTACATTTAATTATAATAACAACAACAATCTTGTTATTATAATAATAATAATAATGATTATAAAAGAGAAGGAAAAAAAAAATGGATTCAAGTGTATTTGTATAATTAAACTAAGGAAAAGTAAAATAAATATTGGGTAAAATGATTTTTATGTACACATAGTAGTAATAATAATAATAATAATAATAATAATAATAATTCAATAATCTAAAAGAGTGCTAAACTAAAGAGTTTATTTAACAAAGTTTATATATGAAAATCTTTTTTGTAAGGCCAAAAGAAAAAAAAAAAAAAAATCTCCTCATTTCTTTTTTCTAGCCCTTTCTAACTAAATAAAAACCTTCAGGCCTAAAACTTAGACTTTTTGATAAATGCAAAAAAAAAAAAAAAAAAACCCTCGGATGAATGAAGGGATGATGGTGAGGTGGGGGTGGGGAAGGGTAATTTTGTTTTTAAAACTACATTATATTCCATTTTGTGTTAATGTAATTGATTTTCCTTCTGGGCCAGATTTCTTTATTTTTCCTTTTTTTTTTTTAATATATACCAGGCTGGAGTGAAGTGCTGGAAAAATCCCCGCACGGCATCCCTTTTATCCCTGTTTTACAAAAAAAATTTACCGTTTTTTTTTTTTTTTAAGCTTTTTAAAAATTTGAATTTTCCACGTTTGAAAAAAAAATTAAAAAAAAAAAAAAAAAAATGGCGGACTTGGTATAAGAATCGAAATTGTATTTTACATCGTTTAGTATCATCGGGATGATTTCCCCTTTGTTTTTATTAGATTCTATGCTCTTTTCACTAATTCGATATTTTTTTTTTTTTGTTTCCAACGAATCTCTTGTTACGAATAAATCATGAGAAATGAAATAAAAAACTACAGAAAACGATATTCGTTTATTATTATTATTATTATTATTATTATTGTTTGTTCATCATTTCTCCCTAATGAAACTTTTGTTTAAACAAATATTTTTCTTTTTTCACTTATTTTTAAACAGTACAATTGTTATCATCATCATCATCATCATCCATTTTTTTTTTTTAAAGGGAAATCAAAAACAAATTAAACTTTAATTATTTTATTAAATTTTAATTATGTTATACAAACAATCATAAAAGTTTTTTGAAAACTTTTAAAAAATTTGTTTTTTTTTTTTTTTTTTCATGTTTGATTTTGATTTATTCTTTCTTTAAAAGGAAGCCATCTTCTCGACATGAATTCACACACACTGTAATATTTTAATCTTTCAGGAAAGGTAATTTCAGTACTGCATGATTCATTTTTTACAACTGTACAAAATAATACATCCTGTAACAATTTTTTTAAAAAAAATTAATCATTTCATCAGGGTAAATTTTATGGTTTTTATTTTCTTACCTAATTCAAAATGTCTATATTATACCTTATTAAATGTTTCGACTAATCTGTTGATTGCCAAAAATTTTGTCCATGTAAAAACTTGTTTGGGATTAAAAATTTTTATCAAATAACTTGCATGACTGTATAGAGGTCCTTCTTTATACAGTAAATAATCTCCACCATATTTTATACCAGATTTAACAATCCAACCTTTTGTTCTATAATAATGGTAAATGACATATCTTTCGAAAAAGTTCCATTGAGACTTATTAAATTTTTCCCATAATTCATCAATACTTAATTTAACACCATTTTCATTGTGAACTTTAAAATAATTTAATGCATAATTCAAAAAAAGTGTTTCTTCAAAATTTAATAATAAACTTTCTATCATCGGATATGATCTCCTCATTAGTCTGGCTTTAAAATTTTCAATGGAAATAAGTGAAGGTGATAAATTGTCATTGAGTATATTAATTACTATAACTTTTTCATTACTTTTTTTATAATCTTTTACCTGTATTATAAGTTTATTGTCTATAATTTCATTTATTCTTTTTTGAAACTTTTCATCAACTTCAATGCTACTGTCTGCAAATCGAAAAAAAAATTTTTTAGGAAAATAAATTTAATATTTTTATGGAAATTAAAATGCGAAACAAACCTTCAGTAAATTCTAATAAATTATCTCGGCTAACATTATTATGTATAATACAACTTCTTTTTTTGTGAAAGTCTTTGTTTAAATTATTATCAAGGTTTGCTTTCCATGATTGCCATTGTAATTGTGTATTAATATCATCATTTATTGCTTCCAGTAAAAACTTATTGACACTATTTATCGATGAACAATGATCATCGAAAAATGAATTTCGATATGTGATTTCGTTTACAGTGTTCCATTTTGATTCATTTTGGTATTGTTGCTCTGTAATAATTTTGGGTATATCACCTTTATTTAAATTATAACAAGGAAAACTTTTTGATAAACTTCCTTTTCCGAAACCTCCCTAAAAAATTTAAAATTTGAATAAATCATAAATATTTTGCATTTTGCAGTACCAATATGTACTTTATATAAGAAATATATATAAAATTTTTGTAAGTAAAAATATAAAGAGAGCTAGAGAGTTATTTTCTTTCAAATACATAATTTTTAATTTAAATAAAGTTTTTCAAAAGTTTAAATAAAATTTAAAAATATGTGCCTTAGTGAATAACCAATTAATTAGATTTTGATTTGTTATAACAATTTGTAATCCGTTAAAAACTCCTATTAGTTGATTTTTGTCAATGAGAGAAGACGCTTCTTTAATTCTTAAAGATTGTTTTTTTAATTTAGGTTTTTTAAATTCCATTTTAAGACTCTTAAAAACGTTTATTGTTTCTCAGCTAAATAAATGTGACAGAATCATTTGCAACGTGTTTTAAAATTTATTTTTTTTAAGTATTTTATAAAAATTTTTATTCCTAACCAAACACATTTTTGTGTGAATTGACGTCGATATGTAAAGGAGGCATTGTCACATTTAATCATATGTTTTCTATTTTATTATAAAATGTTTTAAATTATTTAAATTTTGGTGATATTTTTATAAATTAAAAATTTTTTATTTATTTTTTATTACTTTTGATATTATTTATTTTTTTGAAAAATATTGTGAAAAAAAAAAAAAAACTTTTTATTATATTTTTTATTAGGTAAGTTTTTATTTTTATTTTTACTGTTATAAGTTATACACATGTGTTAGATTTTATATATAAAAAAATATAAAAAGCATCATGAATAAAATTTTATTTAAGAGGAATTTGATATATTTTAGATTTATTTAGACATGGCGGAAAATTCTGACACTTTACATCTTATTGAAAGTATTTTTAAATTTATTAATCAAGATCCAATGATTAATTGTAAAGAAATAATTGAAAAAGTTACAAAGATTTTAACAGTTAATGACAAAGAAGTGGCAGAATTATCAAATTCAAAATTTGAAATCGATAAAAATACTGCTACTCATCTGCTTCATAAATTTTTACAATTACATGAAAAATTAATGATAAATAAATCTTGTGGGTTGTCGCTAAAACCCATTTTACAAATAATAAAAAATTATATAAATTGTGAAAATAAATCCGTTGATATTTCACAGCAGGTCGAATCAGAATTTTTGGATATTATTATTTTGACATATAGAATTGCAATTAATCAAAAGGCTCCAAATGATATTTTAGATTTAGCTGAATTTTACTCTTATATTTTGCAACTTACTAATAACAATACAGATAATTTAAAATATAATAATGAATTTAAAATTAATTTCAGTTTAAAAATTTTATACAATATATATTTTATTTTGGGACAGTGTCCTGATGATGAATATGTTAAAAGTTTTATACAAACTGCTTCGTGTATAAATAAAAAAAATTGCATAGATGAAATTCAAATTTTTATAAAGTTGATATTTTATGGGAATGATAACATATTATTAAATACATTATTAATAATTTTACCAAATTTTACTTCATGTTTTAAAACTCGAGAAGGAATCATTAAAATTTGGGAAGAATTTTTTAATTTAATGAATTCGTTAAAAGATGATGTGCCACAGAGTAGACTTCTTTTAATACCTTGTTATTTATTCAATTTATGTTTTATTGATAAGGCTGCTGTCGATGATAATTGTTTGATGAAATTAATTTTTGATAATAAAAATTATTGGAAATTGATATATTCGAGTTTGTCGAAAAAAAATTCAATAGTTAAAAAGCAAGCATTGTATTTGTTAAAAAATACAGTTCATTTATTATTAAATTCGAATGAAAATTTTCATTGTCACGATCATAATTTTTCAGACTCGAAATTAAACAGTTTAACTTTGATTTGGTGGGATTCAAATTACAAACATGAAATATCAAATGTTTACCAACAAATAATAATATTGTTAGAGTATTTTGATGAACAACAATTTCACATAATTAAACCAATATTGAAAATAATGGATGAAATTGTTCAGAAAATTGTATGTAAACTCAACGATGAAAAATCAATAAATTTTTCATGGGTGGTTTTATTGTTTGAACAAGCTTTAACTCATGACAATGTACAAATTATAAAATGGGGATTAAATGGCCTTTTGAAATTACCAGATATTTTTTATTCTGATATTTTTTTAGTAGAAAAACTTATACCTCCGTTGATTACAACCCTTAACAATATATTTATTTATTACAATAACGGTATGCAATTAAGTGAAAATTTATGTGTTTTTTTTAATAATTACACAAAGTTACAATCATGTAAAATTTTTTTTTGTTCATTCATTACAAATTTATGCAGTCTCAATTGGTGTCCAGAATCATTATTTTATGTAATTCATGCATTAGCTCAAGTGCCTAGACATCCTTGTTGGGAAAATAAAGAAATATTAGAAATATCAAATTTCGTTACGACAGCATTTAAAACGCATAATAAAATAATAAAAATAGGGATTCATAATGAATTTTTAAATGCAATTATGTCGCTGACTGACGTCAGTAATGTCTCGCTGGATAATTTTTTAAATTTAATAATGAGTTTTTTAAATTTAAATTGTTTGGAAAGGAATAGCAAAGTTTGGATGAAACTTGTTGATTGGTTAAAAAATTCATATTCGGAAAAAACATCGGCTCAATATCTTGATAATTTGTTCGGTGATAATTGTAAATTTGAAAAAAATGAAAAATTTTTAGCTTTGATATTGGTTTTATTCAACGACGCTTATAACGGTAACGTAAATTTATCAAATATGGATTCTCAAAAAAATTTTGCCTTAAATAAATTACAATCGATACTTAAAAGTTTTAAAAATCTCGATAAAAGACTTTATTGCGATAATTTATTAATAAATAGTTTTTTAAAAACTACGTCATTTGTTCTAGAACTCGTTTCCGTTAATAATAATAATAATTTAGAAAAAAACGTTTACGTTAATTTTATCGCGCCATTTTTCCCCGACATAATTACTTACATTCTGTCGCAAATTTTTCATTTATCAAAATTACAAGATTATGACACGGTTTCTTTTTTGGTAAAAACTTTAAAAAATATTTTGAAAATTCGGGATACTCACGAAATAATACGCGACATCATTATAAATAAATTAAACGATTTGATTACCGTTGACGTGCCATTGTTAGAAAAAGATGATGAATCTGTGTCGTACATGAGAGTATTTTGTTGGATGGAATTTTTAAAAGTTACCATTGAGGAATTCACGCCGAAAATCATTAAAAAATTAAAATTGAAAAATTTTTTCCATTACATATTAAAAAACGTTAATGAACCTCTGAGGGAGAAAAATTTTCCGTTGGAAAAAAAATGTGAAAAACAAGGATTGTGGGGAAAAATAAATTCGGAATATTTAGAATGTAAATGGTATTTATTTAATTACCTTCTAAATTCCATTGAATTTAAAACGGAAACGGAAAATGTTCTCACCGTTGAATTCCTGTTAAATATTTCAAAGGATGCTCTTAACGTTGGCGGCTATGGAATATTAATTCCGGTCATGTTAACCGTTAAAAAAATTCTACCGAAATTAAATGATTTATCAATAATTGATTTATTATGGACGTTAGTTATGGAAAGGAGGAAAAGTGAAAATTTTAAAATTCTTTCTAAAAATTTTATCGAATTATTATTTCAACCTGAAATGATTGAAAATAACGATTGTTCAACCGTCGAGGGCGTCGTTTTAAAAGTAAGTATTAATAATACTAAATCATAATGTCGTCGTACAATTTTTTTATTATTTTAATAAATAAAAGTATTTTTAGTATACGGATTTATTATTTGCCGATTCCAGTCTTGCAGTTGTCAACATATTTGTCGACCACGTTCAAAAATTGAATTTGAATTTAATACTCAATTCGTCGTTTAGTCACATATTGGGAAAAATTTTAATTTTTGGTCCAGTTCAAAGAAAAGATGAAAGATTAACGGTTGAAGTTTGTAATTATATCGACGAACTCGATATTTATAAAGTTCGGTGAGTATTTTTTCCATTTTTTTTCCAATTAAGTATTTGTGTAAAATAATAAGTTAAAATTTAATTTTTTTTAGAAAGTTTAACACGAGCAATGAGATTCGTGGAAGAGGGATTTCAATTATTTTATCACTTGATAATACAATAAAAGAACATAAACAATTTGTTTGGGAATTGATTAAAAAACTTATCGATTTGGAAAAAGAAATTTGTAAAAATAAAAATCGATATTTTGGAGATTCGTTAATACATCGGATCAAACACAGATTAATGCAAGCTTTGCTCATTTTGGAAACCGTCGTGTTTCCCAATAAGGTAAGTTAACATTATTTTTATATATAGTAGTTATAAACCTGATAAAGTTTGTTTCAAATTAAAAAACTTTTTTTCGATTTTTTTTTTATAGACTGCCGCATATGATCTCACAAAATGGCTGTACGATTCTTTGGAAGAGGAAAATGCACAACCCAGCGTTAAATATTTACAAGAATGGTTATTAATTAGATTATTGATAAATTATCCCGAATTATTATCGGATTTTTGGAGTCATTTGGATAATTACATAACGTTAAAAACCAAAGGCGTCTGCTCGTTGATAACAATTTCTTATCATTTGTGTAAAATAATACCCTCTGATCGACTAAGGGATTGGTTGAATCAAGGTATAACTAAAATATTACCCTTTACAATGGATCAACATTTTGAAGTTCGTCTTTATGCTTTGGTAATTTTATTATTATTATTATTAAATAAGTTAAATTTAAAAAAATAATAATAATAATGACGAAAATGTTTGTTTTTCAGGTAATTTTAGAAAAATATTGTTTGTTAGCCAAAGATCGAAAATTATTAGACATTTACGATAAATACGAAATTATTCACAATAGCGTTCAGAGAAGTATTCAAAGGGGATGCAAAGGAAACGCAGGGAAAAATTGTAGAAAATTGCAGGAAGATTTTTATTTAAACGTTTTTAATCCTTTGGAGCATTATTCCCTTGAAACGATATTCAATGATTTACCGAGATTGGCAAACGTTGGTTTCGACGAATGGATATCTTTGAAAATTTTCAAAAATTGTCATCCACATATTAATAATAATAAAATTATTCCCGTTGAAAACGTTTCCGATTCTTCTTTGGAAGATGTGTCTTGTGCAACATGGTCCATCAGTAGTAAATGCAACCCTCGGGAATGTTCAGAATTCAACGAAGACAATCATAATAATAATTCACAGTCGAAAATCAATTATCAAAAAAAAATGATTCCACTTAAAGAACTTTTACCAACGGAGGATTTTTCAGATTGTCCTTCTCGTCGCGTCACAGGTACAAAAAATTAATAACAATAAAACATGGAAGAATTGTTTATAAAAAGAAATTTGTTTTTAGATGGTCTCATCGTAGTAGCTTCACTCATAGATCGAGTTCCTAATTTGGGAGGTTTAGCGAGAACATGTGAAATATTTGGAACTTTCGAATACGTTTTGGGAAGTTTAAAATACGTAGAAGATAAACAATTTGCTTCTCTTTCCGTAACTGCCGAAAAATGGATCAATATTAAAGAAGTAATTTATTTAATTTATTTTAAAAGAAAAGATATTGAACGGTAGCAAAAATTTAACGATTCTTTTACAGGTCAGACCGGAAAATCTTTTAAATTATTTATTAAAAATGAAAGATGATGGATACAAAGTTATCGGAGCAGAACAAGCACTTTATAGTAAACCTCTTAACGAAGTTAAATTTCCAAAAAAATCATTATTGCTTTTAGGAAATGAAAAAGAAGGAATACCACCTAATTTATTACCTTTACTTGATATATGCGTTGAAATTCCTCAAGTAGGGATTATTAGATCTCTTAACGTACACGTTACCGGTGCTCTATTTATTTGGGAATATGCAAAACAAAATCATTTTTCTTCTTAATAAATTTTTGTATATTATTATTATTGTTTTAGGTGATGTTATGTTATTTTGTAAGGTATTATATACTTTTTTTATATTTTTCATATAAATCATTGACTTATTTTTTTAAAGAAACAGTAAAATTTCAAGACAAGTAATTTATCATCCAATAAAATTTTTCATTTTAATTAAAAAAAAAAAAAAAAATCAATTAGTATATATTTTATGTGATTAAACCAAGTTTCTATATCTATGATATTTTTAAATGCAAATAATCAATTTTAAAAAAAAATTTTTTTTAAATTGATTATTGTCAGCAAATAAAGTAATAAAATGATTATAAAATAATGTTTTTTTTTTTTTTAAATTAATTTTTAATTAATGCAAAGGAAGTTTTGTTGTCTTTTTTCGTTTCTGTAGGAGAAAAAATTAAACGAGGTTGCCTTACAGTTGTAGTAATTTCGATATCTCTATCGAGTTTTCTGTCGTAATCGTACACCGCCTTCTACAAATAAATTTTATGTACTTGGAATTTTGTGTACATTTACGAGGATTCTTGCTTCGATAGTGCTATTAATTAGGAGTGCCTAAAATGTCTAGTCGGAGCAGGAGTTCTAGCGCTTCTTCTAAAAAATCGCGCTCTCGATCAAGAAGTTCTAAAAGTAGTCGAAGCCGAAGTCCAAGTGTTGATGAAAATTGTCGTCTTCATGTAGCCGACTTGGGACAAGGGGTTTCGAAAGGCGAATTAACTCGAGTCTTTGAAAAATACGGTCCATTAAAAGAAGTTTGGGTAGCTTCATCACCTCCTTGTTTTGCATTTGTCGTTTTTGAAAATAGAGAAGATGCCGAAGAAGCAATTCAAGGGGTTGACAACACGTAAGTGATAATTTCAGTTATATTTTATTCCAACTAAAAATGCTTCCAACCATTTTGTGAATTTGATAAATTTCTTTCATTTAAGCATTTTATTCAAAGTCAATGAGGGAAAATTAAATTTTTTTATTTTAAAAATGATTTTAAATAAATTAATTTAATTCAAACGCTGCAGAAATATTTGACTGAAATATATATTTTTGTACTATTTGATGATACATAAATAAATTTAAATAACATGTTCATGCATTTGATTAAAATTTATATTTAAAGTAAAGTCATTATTATCTTATGTTATTAGTTCTGTCGGAGGAAACAGAGTAAGAGTTTCTGTGGCTCGACCAAGGACCAGAGGAAGAGGTCTTAAAAGCTATGATCCTAATCAAAGATGTTACACATGTGGAGAAAGAGGACATTTCTCTAGAGATTGTAATGATACAAAATATGGATATAAAAGACCTTCCAGGTGAGGTTGCTTGTAATGATATGTTTGTGTAAATGTAACTCGTCAGTTTCAGTAGGTAATTATTTTTATTAGATTTTTTACATCATTTATCAAAAACCACTTACTAAATGAGATATAAATGGAACATTTTATATATTATTTATTTTAGCATAGAACCTTACATTTTTGCTGTTTATATTTTTTATTTATATTTTATTTGGGTCTCCACCTTTAAAAAAAATCACACAAAAATTTTTTTTTATGTCATTTATTCGAAATATTTTTCTATGATTAACTATTACGAAACTCTTAATTTAAATTTACATTTATTAATGACTTTTTAAAGGATAGATAAGGAATTAATGCTGAAATTTAAATAATATATTTGAATTTCAAGCAATTTATTCTTTACTTTAACTAATTACGATTATTTTTAATGATAATTTTACATCTTCGAAACATAATTTTTATTATCAATTTATCGAAAAGCCATGATACTAAGTGCTTTAAAGTAGGGTTATATTTTTTAGGCAGAATATTCATTTAAGAGACATGTTTTTTCATGCATATCCAAATTATATAGTACTGTTTAAAAATTACAATTAAATTGAGGGGGAAAATTATCACTGACTTATCATTAATTAAATTATTTATTAATTGTCATCGTAATACAATAGAGAAATACTTAATAGAATGTGACTTTGAACTAAAACTATATGAAAATAGTAATGACATTTAAACTTGTGGGGGTTTTCAACAAGACAGATTTTAACGTTTTTTTTTTTCTTTTTCCCCCCCCCTCCCCATTTTTGTTTATTTTGTTTTATTTTTTTTTTTTACTACTAAAGCATTATTATTCGAAATTTTTCAAATCTTAACAAAAGCATAAGGTTTTTAAAGATTAACTTTGAGTTTAAATGTTTATATGTAATGTTTATTTTATTTTTTATTCATTTATAAAAAAAAAAAAGAATGGGTTTACATCAAAATTTAGTTTCTGGAGAATATTCGGATTGTGTGAATTCAAACAAACTTGAGTGGGCCAACAATTTGTTAGACATTTATCCATCATCCATCATCGACACACACAAATTCTCCTTTTAAAAACAAAAAAAAAAAAGAAAAAGTAATAAGAATCCTGCTTTTTATATTTATTTACTAACTAATCAAAATCACAACAAATGTTTTTCCTTTGCTTACGTCACAGGAAAAGTAATAAATTTTTTTTTTTTTTTACTTACTTACTTACTTACTTACTGGAGAGTCGAAGAAAGTTTATGATTATTTTATTATTATTATTTTTTTTATTTTTATTTATTTTTATTTGAAGAAAAAAAAAAACATTTTGAAGCCAGACTAGTACGACAAAACGAAAAAAAAAAAAAAAAAAAAAAAAAAAAAAAAAAGAGAAAACAAAAACTGTCAATAATATAATGTAGTTGGTCTATTTAGGATGAGGTTGTTGATTATGGTTGTCTGATGAGAAGGGACCGATAATGGTTGTGGTGATCGACCACTATTGTCACGATAAAAGAGATTATGATCATTGTGAATCAATGGGGTTTTGTCTGGTGGGTTATGTTCTGGATCGATAAATGGGTATCTGGAGTGTTTTATACAGAGTAGTAAACGTACGTTACACATTGGTGTGGTGGTCTCTTTCAACGTTTTATTCAGTTGCAAAATTTTGGTTTTTTTGGTAGGTAAAAAAAAAGTATCTTTTAGTATAAAAAATCATTTTTTTTTTTTTTTTTTTTTACCTTTCTTTTTTACTTTCTTACTACTTTTTTTTTTTTTTTTTATATATATATAAATAATAGTTTCCAAAAAAATGCTGAGAAAATGAGGTTTATTCTCATACCATATTATTATTATTATTATCTTTTTTTTTTTTTTTCTCATCATCCAAGATTATACATATATATATATATAATATATATTTTTTTTTAATTAAGGAATTACATAATAATACTAACTAACCATTTGACCAAGGAGCAGTGCATGCGGTGTCTGGTTTTTTCTTTTTTTTTTTTTTTTTTTTTCTCCATTTTTTTTTCTCTTATTGTTCCAGAATATATTTATATTGTTATAACAGTATAATTGTAAAAAAAAACAGAAAAAAAAATTTTTTTTAGGTACGTTAACCGTAAAAAATTTAATTTGTTAAGGTTTATTATTTAGTTTGCACTGCATGGATAAGCGCTAGATTTTCCGATTTGTATTATTATTATTATTATTAGTAATGTGTCAATGCTTGACATTTTATTTGTTCTCTGTTTCTATATCTTTTGCTAGGAAAAAAAAAAATATTGTTTTCATTTAAAATTTCCCCCTTCTCCCCCTCCCCATCTCCCCTCCCAGCCCCGGCAAAGTAGTATTTATTATTATTATTATTATTATTATTATTATTATTATTATTATTGTGATTTTATTTATTTATTTATTAATAGAGTAGTAGAATAAGGTCGATGTAGTAGAGTTTTTTGGCTTATTTTTTTTTTTTAGTGGCATCTTTAAGGAAAGGCATATCATTAATAATTTTTTTTGTTTTTATTTATTTATTTATGTTGATTTTTGTTTACCTCGCTTTTTAATTTTTGCTTTTTCCATAGAATTTTTAAATGATGAGAGTTGAACGGTGGGAAAAAAAAAATTTGGTACATCCGAAAAGAAAAAATGTAACACTCTAATGTAATTTAGTTTTTTAGTTTTTTAGTTTTAGTTTTTGTACCAATTAAACTAACTTTTGTTAGTTAGTTAGTAGAAAGTAGATTTTTTTTTTTCGCATGTGTATACGACCGGAAAATTTCAATTTGGAAAGAAACCCTTCAATTTGTTGCAACAACAGCAGCAGCAACAACAACAACAACAATTCAATCTTTCAAATATCATCATTATCAATATTATATATTTCTAATTATTATTAATATTTTTAAAAAATGGAGGAAATAAAATTGGTATGTGCGCGTGGGTGTGCGTGGGTCTGTAGAATAACTAAAAGAAAAACGTGAAAATTTAATTATTATTATTATTATTATTATTTTTATCCTGAAGAAAATTTCACTCATATATTGAAAATTTTTTTTTTTTTTTGCTTTTCTTTTGCATAATTAATTAATTTATTTTATTTTATTTAAATTATGATGTCATTTATTGATTGTTTCGTTCTTCACTGTTATTTATTTAATTTAAAAAAAAATAGTAAGTGGGATGTTGTATTATTATTATTATTTTTTTATATTATTTAATCTCTCTCTATCTTATGGATTTCATCGCATTACATATAAATATCACATTGCTATAGTTAATGAATAGCAAAGTAAGGTAGGTTTATAAGATAATAATAATATAAAGGAAAAATTTTGATGTAATTTTTCGACTGGTTGTTTATACATAGGGAGAAAGAAAAGAGAAAGAGAGAGAGAGAGAGAGAGAGAGAGAGAGAGAGAGAGAGAGAGTGGGAGTGAGGGTGAGAGAGAGACTTCGTATCTGGACGTTTAACTTTTACCCCCGACAGATTTTATTATTATTATTATTATTATTATTATTTATTACAAGTGGAAACGTATTTAAATAGTAAAACGTAATTGAAACAAATTTATTTAAATAATAATAATGATAATAATGGCGAAATTGGTATTAACAAAAAAATATGGTGGACAATCCAATAAAATTATTTTATTTTTTTGACGAGAACGATTTTTGATTTGATTTTTTTCTTTTTTCGCTTCAAAACGATCCCTGGGAGACGGCACAGATAATTTACCCCCCCTCGTCCCCCCCCCGTTTTTTTGGTTTTTTTTTTTTGGGTTTTTTTCTCGTAGGAACATATTTGAATTTTTTTTTTTTTTTGGAGAAAGAGATTATTATAGGTTGTTGGGATACGTTGCGATATTCATATCATGGGAAAAAAATTTTTTTTTTTTTTTGTATTTTATTTTATTTATTTATTTGTCATTATTTATTTATTTATTTTATTTATTTTTTTTATTTTATTCAGGAGATCCCCACCGTATCGTTCTCGGCCGAGAAGATATAACAATTACGAAGATTTTCGTCGAAATGATCGTCGCGACAGGGATTACGACGATAGACGACGTCGTCGCTGAAAATTCATTATTTCACCTTATTAAAAAAAAAAATATATATATATATATATTTCAAGCATTCATTTATTATTATTATTGTTTTTTTTTTTTTTTTAATTTTTATTATTATTATTATTATTAATTATTACTATTATTTAGTAAAAGTAAAACAAAAAGGTGTAATTTTCATTTAAATAAATAAAATATAATAATAGAAGAGTAAATAAAAATTATAATTATATTCGTTTATGTTACTAAATTACGCAAAAAAGAAAAAGAGAGAGAGAGAGAGGAAGGAAATAAAAAAAAAATTGTTAAGGCTTTTAAGGTGATGATTGATTAAATTAATCGATTCAATTTTATATTTTATAATTTTTATATAATAAAATTTTAATTTGCTTCTCCTTTAATTAAATTCATTTTTCGATAATCATTATTATTATTATTTTCACTCATAATTTCACGACAATTCATCTTATTGTTTGTCAAAGCTTAAATCAACATTTAACGAATCGGTCATTATTATCATTAGGCATGAATTTAAATTTTAAGTATACCTAGTAAAAGAATATAATTTTTCCTCAGAACTATTTAAATACTTAATTTTCCTACTGTTTCCCCCTTTACATAATTTTCCCTCATGCATTTCATCCTTAATGTATATAAATTACAATTTTGTACCCATATAAACTTAAGTAATCTGAAGGTAGTTTAGGCTTTTTATAATCTTAATTGAAATTTTACATTAAAAACATTGAAAAATTTGACCAAATATATAAGAAAAACATAAAATCCAAGGGGGGGTATAAAGTAAAATAATATTTCAACAAAATTCCCCCTTAGAATATTTGAAACATTGGTTCCCCGCTTAAAATAAAGTGTAAACAGTGGATTCCCGCTTAAATAAAATGTAAACAGGGGATTCCCGCCACAAAGGTCATTTCACACTAAAAACATCGAAAAATTTGCTCTGATGTATCAGAAAAACATAATATTCAAGAGGTATAAAATGTAACCTGTGAATTTCCCCTCATAATACATATTGCAACAATGGATTTCCCCAAGTAACTAATAAATTGCAACAATGGATTTCCCCTCATAATAAATTGCCACCATGGATTTCCCCTCATGATAAAATGAAGCGTTGGATTCCCGCTTAAATAAAATGCACACATTGGGTTACCGTCTAAAATCTTAAATTTTCACTAGGAACATCGGAAAATTTGGCCAAATCTATTAGAAAAACAGAAAATCCAAGGAAATATAAAGTAATATAAAATGGCATAATGGATTCCTGCTCATAATAAAATGCAAACAGTGGATTCGCGCTCATAATAAAATGTAAACAATGTATTCCCCTCTTAAAAAATTGCAACAATGGATTTTCTTCATAATAAATTGCAACAACGGATTTCCCCTTCATAAGAAATTGCAACGTGTAAGGGGAAATATTTCCCCTCAAACTCTAAATTTTTCACTAAAAACATCGAAAAATTTGACCAAATGTATCAGAAAAACATAAGATTCAAGAGGTTTAAAGTAAAATAAATTGCAACAACGGATTCCCCTCTTAATATAAAATGACAACAGTGGATTTGCGCTCATAATTAAATGTAAACAATGGATTCCCGCTTAAGATCGTAATTTTAAACTAAAAATATCGCAAACTTAAGGAAATGGATTTTTTTATTAAGGATTTTAAAAAATAATTTAATTAACTCGAGTTAAAAAAAAAAAATTAAGTACTTATTTATTTATTTATTATTATATTTATTACATAATACTTAATTATTTAAATACTAAATCATCGAAATAATAATAAATTACCCTTATACAAATGTTAATCGATTTAATAATAATTATAAATAAATAAAAATCTGCAACTGAATGAAAAACAATTTAATAAATTGTTTAAAAATATTAAGTAAATCCAAATCCCTCGGTGCCTTCTTTAATGGCCAACAGCAAAGCTTTTTCAAATTGTTCGTAGCTATCGTAGCTGGGGAGACAAAGTTGATTAAAACTGAAAAATTATTATTTTAAATTATGATGACTCAATTGTCAATGTTTTGACAACAATTTTTATTACAATCGATTATAAAATCAATTAATAGTAAGAATTTGATTAGTACATTCGATAATGGATAAAAAAAGAAAAACTCCATCGAAAAGTACATTACCAAGTGTGAGCAGTAGGCAAATTTCCAAATGTCGGAGCAGCAGACAAAGTAAATTTAGGTGAAAGATCTTTGAAACCGCCAGGTGGTAATTGAGAACAACCAGTGGTAAATTGTAAAAGTCTTGCCATTTCTTCAACAGTGAAATTACTTATCGCAGCCCAAAACCATTCCAAAACTCTTTGAAATTCTAATGAGTTTCCATTTACAATGTGATTCGCTTTGAAATCTCCAATATCATATTCTCCTGTTCCGCATAAAAGTAACTGGAAAAAAAAAAAAAAAACAAATCCTTAGTAAATCAAATCCGAATCCCCTTTAAAAAAAAAACAACAGGATGAAAAAAATTAAAGTTTTATCAATTGACATTTCCTATACAATTCTATCCCTTTTATTTTCATTAAACACTCTATTAATAATAATGATTATTTAATTTTACCCTGAATCATTTTGAATCATAAAAAAACCTTCGCGTTATATTTCTTTTCTTTTTTCCCCCTTCACAAAAACACTTTGCAACAAACAACTCAAACATTTTGTTGTTTTTAATATACGTATATTATTGAATTTTCACCGACCATCACCTTTGAAAAAAATAATTTTTATCATTTTTTCAAAGCACGAAAATAAACGAAAATAAACGAAAATAACCGGAAATTTTTGATTTCACAAAACGCAATTTCAAAAAACTTTTTTCATTCAGGTTAAAAGCTAACAAAAAAATATTTTTTCATTAAATAATATTATTAAAATAACAAAGTTATAATACTTTTTTAAACGAAGTTAAGTGTAGAAGATTTTCTTTTGTAAAATTAAAGTTTGACTTAATTGAAAAATAATTGACAGAATGACATTAGCCAAATGATATTTAATGAACATATGAATAACTTGAGTAATAATAATAATAATAATAATAATAATAATAATGATAACCACTTCTAGGAGTTTTAGTGTTTACGATGATAACGGTTGCATTTTTCTAGAAAAATATTATTTCCCAGAAGAAGTTTTATCAATAATACTAAGTTATGTACATCCAAAAGATTTGGTGTTTACTTGCAGAAATGTTTGTAAAATTTGGTGTAACTTGATCGATTCTCAAGTATGGAGGATTTTATTTACTAGAAAGAATTTATCATTAAATAAAATTCAAGAGTTACCCTGGTTCGTGTGCTATTGGATGGTTAATAAAAATCCATTTAATCGTAATCTCATTAAAAATGGATGTGGACAAGGTAAATTTATAATTCAAATGTTTGAAAAATCGTTTAGAGAGAGAGAAATTCATTTTGTGAACAAAAATTTTTTTTTTCTTTTAGAAGGACTTAAACATTGGAAATTGGTTACCAACGAAGGAGATCATTGGAAGGTTGAAAAATGTCCAAAGGGTTGCGATGACTTTCCAGAAGATCCCACCAATGATGATTTAAACACTTTTACATCTTGTTTTGCAACTACCTACAATTCTTGCAGCAAAGAACAAATTATTGATTTGAAAAAAGAAGGGGCTGTGGCACAAATTATGGATTTGTTGCAACCGAAAATAACAGTATCAGAATGGTTTGAACCTTTTTTTCATCATGCCGAAAAATGGGTGATCCATACATACTTAATAAGTGAATTGAAGCCCCCACCCTCATTGTACAAACTCATAATTTTTTACAGGTATTGTGGCAGGTCAGATTCTAGATGTATATACGAATTTAAAACAGCAATTTTAGACGAACATCAAAATCCGATTGATGATTTTGAAATTCGAAAAAATTTAGATAAACCAGATGGAGCAACTTGGCAAAAGGTCAATATACATAAATAAGTGCAATGTAAAATGTATAACCAAATTAGAAATAAACAACTTGAATTTTTTTTTCAGATAACTCACATATTTCAAAATTATGGCAAAGGAGTTCGTTATGTTTGGTTTTATCATTATGGTCAAGATCTTATGTTTTGGAAAGGTCATTTCGGTAGTAAAATGACCGGATGTTCAATCACTATCGATTTACCAACCAAAATTCATTCTTAAATTAATTCTTTAAAAAATTTTTTGTCATTTGTCTCTTTATAAATGTATTTTTTATAAAAAAAAAATGAATTTTACTTACTTCTAATTCGTTTTCATCGAAAATGCTCAACAGAGAATCCGGTATCAATTCGTTGAGTCCTTTTAAAAAGTATTCCACTTCTGATTTAACACTTGAAACTAATTTATATTGTGCCAAACAATCTAAATAATGTTGTTTTGTGTCATTTGTCACTCGAATCTGTTTTCGATGAGAAAATTTTTTGTTTTTTAATTATCGAGTTTGATGTATTTATTTATATATGAAAAAAAGAGAAACTTTCTTACTTCGGATCCGTTCGGTATTAATTCTATTGTTTTAATCAATTGACCATTTTCGCAATATTCTTCTTCAATAAAATACAATTCCATATCTTCGACATCATTTTCTTTTATGTATTTAATTTTACTTAAAAATAAATCGGGATCATCTTGTTCGAAATATCTATAATGGATTTTCAAACCGATTATTTGAGCGAGGAAACTTCTTGTAAATTTGGCTTTTACCATTTGGCTGCAAAAGAAAAACATTTTTTTTAATAAATATAAAAAAATTGACTTTTTGATAAAAAAAAAACCGATGAAGTTTACCGAAATTTTCCTCCCAGTGCAGATTCGAATAAACATTTCCCAACAATTTTACCAGCAAATTCATAATGTTTTAATTTAAAAGATGGCGGCCTTTTGGAATTCGGGTGTACTAAAGCTTGTTGATTATCGGAAAATGCGGTGAATAATTCGTTACGAGCATCGAATAAAGAAGAACATAATTGATTAAACCATTCTCTACGAACTCCGCCACAATCTACACCTGATAAAACATTTTTTTTTTTTTTTAAATATTGATTAGTAGTAGTACAACATTGTAGTTCAAAATTGTATTCCTTACCCTCTTCTCCGATAAAGGAAACAACAAAATGTTTACACCAATCAGATGTAGAAAAACTTTTCGTTGCTCTCATGGAAGATTCAACGATTTTATCACGATAAATTTTCAACGCGATTCTTTCGTGGTGATGCTTATGATGCAATTTTCTTATTTCGTGATAAAAAAAATCTTGCTTATCCTTAAACGTTTCCGAACCCCCGATATTTTTCAATAAAAAATAATTAAAAGTTGCAGCTATTACGTTTTGATAATTGGAAGCCAATTCTACTCGACCCTGACATCCATCATCTATCGTGAACATGGGCCATCCATCTTGATTGTTATTACCGTGAAAATAAAACTAAAAAAAAAAAATACATACATGTCATTAATAATATATTTTCCATTGAAATTTTCTTTAAAAATAATAATTTGCTCAAATCGAAAAGTTACTTTTGTAGAAGGACACAAACGGAATGTCAAAAGTCGAATTGGAATAAATTTAAGTATGAATTCTTTTATGGTGATTTGCTTCGGAGATATATAACAAAATACTTTTTTTGGTTTTTGCAAAGTTTCCGATTGTATTTTAATTAATCTAGCTTCGTAGCAAACACCGTTATTATTGCTCGCGATATTTTTTTGAATTATTTCAGTATCAATATCTGAAATGGAAAAATTTGTTTTGTTAACGTTTCATAGAGTTGAATTTTCTAAAAATCTCTGTAGTACGTACTATTTAAAACAATAATATTGAAATCTCCATTACGGATTCGAACGTTATTAAGAGTGACCAAAGCATGATAACATCCTTCGCATTGAAATTTTAAAAGAACTTTAATTTTTCCAGAAGTTCCATCGTAGAAGAATCCCGATTTGTGAGAACCGAATTCTTGAGAGTCAAGCTGTACATTTTGTAAAATCTTTTAGGAAATTCTATAAGAAGCATATTACTTTCGAATCAATGCACTAATAACCACAAACTGGAAGACCATGTTACCTTGCTTATTTTAACACTGTATCCTTTTAAGGCGGCTGCTGGATCATTGAAATGGCAAAAATTATCAAATTCGTCTCTAGGTTCGATAGCGAGAGTGTAACGCAAATCTAAAGTGCAAACTACGATTGAACTTTGCTTCAAAAGTTGGGTTTTATTGGGATCCGGAGGACCTAAAAATAAAAAATTCAATTTTTTCGCAACTTTTCTTTTGTTGTTGCGTTTTTACGTTATTTTAAAACACGAACCTGAATTAAATACTTTAGAAAATGGACTTCCACGAACGTGACATCCATCAATTTGTACACTGATTTTATATACACCGGCTCGCCGGGCGGTAAATTTAATTCTTGCAATGTTAGCGAGATTAGGGTCGCAACCGCCTAATTGACAGATGGTGGCTATTTGACGACTACCCTCTGATACTTCAACGTTTAAGTTGTCGGTATTACATATGGGATAAGCTTGACCATTGCGTTGATAAAACTAACATTCAATTTCAAAAAGTCACAATTCAAAAAATTTTTAGTTTGAAAATAGCTAACACATTTTTTCCAAAGACATATCTTACTTCCACAGTAAAAACAAAAGTTTCCCCAACAGTTTTCGGATCTTCCCATTCGAACAAAACCTTACAATTAGATGGTTGTAAGTATTTTCCAGTAACATATTGCAGTAATGAAGGTTTAGCTTTGGGAAAAAATAGAGGCTGAGCCATGATGGCAAATGTAATAAGCCCAGCCATACAAAAAGATATAATTCCGAGTGACCCTAAAAATTTTTATTTATTTAATGTAAATGAAATCAAAATATAATTAAAACAATTCTAATTTAAATATGTATGTAAACTAACCCCATTTCCAATTTTCTTCATATTGAAATTCCTCCAAAATTTCATACCATAAATTTAGTTTTACTGTTTCTAAGTCATTTTGAGAATCAAAACTAAACTTTTTAGCTTCACTCAATGAAATAAAATCAAACTCGGGAAAAGATGAGCTGTCTATGTAATAAATATCATCTAGAGAAGTGATTCCATTTTCTTGTAATCTAATTTTATATTTATAGAATTTTTACAAAGAGAAAACATTTTTATAAAAAAAAAAAAAAAAATTACTTTGCAACATAAAACAAAGTAATATAAAAAAATTAATAATAAATGCACTAAATTTCACAGCACTATTAATGTTAGTGTATATTCACCTGGAATAAAGATGTTCGATATTGTGAACAGATAACCATTTTTTAAATATCAGTTCTTTCTTCAATAATGTAGATGCCACTTCGAGTTTTTCTTTATCAGTTGCAGATATATCAAGTTTTAAATTTAATTGGGCACAATTTCTTAATTGTATTATTCCTAAAAACAAAACAAAATAAAAAAAAACTAAACTTTATTTTTTTCAAAACCAATAATAAATAAGATTAGTAGGATTTCATTACTTTGAAATTAATACAGTTTTTTTTAAAATTTTAACTTTGGTTTAAAAGTTAAGTAAAAAAAATTTTTTATGACTCTTTAAAAGCAGAGTCGAAAAAAACGTTTTGATGACTTTGCTCGAGTATTTTCTTCTTCTTCTTCTGGTATTGCAGGATTGGCCATGGATTGAAGAACTCCATCAAATTTAGCAAATCTGCTTTCAACTTCACTTAAAATCAATTCACAATTATTGATTGATTGACGTAAAGAAATTTCTGCTTTTTTATCAGATTCCGATGTGGCTTCTGTGTTCCTATCTAGTTTCATTCTAGTCGTGGCTATGGAGTTATAAATTTCTTCATTAAATGCTAAAACTTTTAAAATTTCCTCAAGGGAAGTTTTCTTCCATTTCTTCTTTATTTTTTCATAGACCCAAGGTAAAGGCCATACACCATTTCCAAAACTCTTGGCTTTTCTTTCTAAAACTAGCAACTCTTCAAACAATCCTTCTACTTTAGAAGCATCTTTTTTAAAATTATCAACTTTATGCTCCAATTCAGCTTGATCTATAGCCATTTCATGCCACCTCATTTTGTATAAATATATATGACTTTTAGTTGAGCAAGACACAAAAATTTAGTTTCTTTTTATTCATTTAGGCATTTGTTTGTAAACAGCATTCAAATGTTTTCAAAGTAAAACTTGCAATGCATAATAATATATATATAGCAAAGTAAAATCACTTTAATCAACTCTACATAATTATACAAAGTAATTTAAAATAAGCATTCTCAATTTTAATCAGTTACTACTATTATAAATTAAAAGTATTTACCATGTTTTTTTAAAAGTGACTTATATTCACTTAAATTGTGCTCTTGAAGCCAAATATCTACTTCTGAAATTTCAGCTTCATTTTCATCAGTATTGTATTCAGTAAAAATAGCTTTAAATACAAAATAGAAGGTGCAGAAAAAAAAAATTCCACAGGCAGTTTTATTACACTGCACCATTTAAAACCGAACAAATTAATATAATTGTACCTTATAAAAAAAATTTTTTTTTTCTAGGCATGTTACGTATCTAAAAATTTATATTTTTTAAAGAGCGTGATAAATATAGTATGATAAAATCGTGAGTTAAACTTATGAAAAAAAAATAAGATCTTTCATCACACATTTTTAAGAAATTTTTTGTCAACTTTTAAAATTGCGGCTAATTAAAATAGGCTAAAGGAAACTTAAAAAAAAATATTTTTTTTTTAGTAAATAATTGCATAATATCTGAACTTTTTTTTTTTTTTTAAACTGCGCATAAATGAAAATTTAAATCGATATATGTAAAAGAAATATAAATTTTGATAATAAAAATTAATTTTTAAAATGATACTAAATCATTTTTCATGGCCTTGGTATCGATAAGTAAAAATCATAAGGAACAATAAGTAATGATGATGACATTTTTTGACTACTCAAAATTATTTTCAAAAGAAATACAGTTTGAGTTGGTAAAAAATTGAAATTTCAATACTTGAAATATTTGTACTTTTATAAATAGGTCGACAAACCCTGATTTTTACTGTAGATGAAAAAACTGTACTAACGCTTACACGGTAAATGAATTTAACAAAGTATAAAATTAGAAAAAAATTAAGTTCGTATGCAATTAATTTTGCCGCATTTTTTTCACAGCCTTTTTTGACGGTTCTTAATTAAAAATTGTTCAAAGCCTCCGCTATACAATAAATCTCAATGTTTTCGTTACTTGTTCCCAAGTTGTAACGGTATTTCGATAATTCATATGATGCATTAATGTGATGATATATCAATAATTTTTCATGTAAAAAGTTGTAGTTCAGTTATTAAAATTCAAAAATTTTTCACAGAGTTTTATCAAAAAACAATAAATAATGTTAGAACCAGATAATTTAGATCCTCAAGAAGTTTTAAATCATCTAAAAGCTCTGGGCTTCAATGAAATCACAACTAAACAGTTAAACGATTTTCTTCACGATTTAAAAAAACTAATTAAATACGAACAAAAATATGGTTACATTTCATGTGGAGTTAGCACTACATCAAAGTCACATGACACTAGTTCAGTTTGTTCATGTTCTGAATTAGAAAGCACTGAAAAATTATCTAATAACAATTCTTTTACTAATTCCATTATATCTGATTACTACTCATTGCCATCCTCTTGCAGTGACACTGCCCACGAAGAACTGAATGAATTTTCAATTGAATCTAAAGAAGATGAAAATGACAAAAGCACCATAACCAAAGTTCAGCCTTCTTGTAAGTCATCATCATCGAATGTACAACAATCCTTGGAAAAATTTCAATTTGTATTTAATTATTATACATTTTCAGTTATTCGTCCCTGGACACAATCGGCTAGTAAAGAAAATTCATTTAATAATAGAAAAAATTTAGATCCAGTTAAATTATATCACCATTATAAAGAATTGTGGAATCGTAACAAAATACCTGGAAAAAGTAATCACTCACAATTACGTTGGTTCATAAGAAACAAAATGCTTGGACAAGAATCTCATACAAAAATTATTTGATGATAGTTTTCCAATTTTAAATTGACACAAGTTTCTTTGTTTTTTCTTGAACTGTAGAATTAAACTAAAATATTTTACAAAAAAAAAATATTCAAAATGGTTACATATTCAAATTTAAAAACCTTGTTATTATTAATAATTTTATCGTATAAATAAATTTGTAATTTATTCTTATTATTATTAGTTATGCATTTGTTAAAAAAAAAAAAATTTCAATTTAAATTTACATTTAAAAAATTTATTACGATAAAATATATTTTTTTTTTATAAATAATAAAAAATTTATGTGATGTAAAATTTTTATAGACAAATATTTTTAACAATATTAAAATTTTAAAAAATAATTTTTTTTAAATGTAAATATTGCTTAAAACAATATTCATTTACTGATTTATTTGGGAAAATTGGAGATAAAATAAAAAAAAAAAAGAAACAGTCATTGTTGAGTACCTTGATTCATATCTCCTAATGAAACTAATTCTTGAATAACATTATTAGCTACTCTTGTGAAGCTATCTGTCATGTTATTTTGATCACATTCCATGGCTGATTTTGAAACTTTGTCATCTAACGTTAGATTACTAGATAAATTTTCCGATAGGTTAGCATCAGTCATCATTGCCATCCTAGTCAATTCGGCCGAATCTAAATTACCTAAATTTAATTCAAGGCTGTACTGCTGAGAATCCATGTCCAACATGGTGTTTCCAGCATTTCCAGCAACGTGAGATCTATTAGAATTGTTTTCAATTTTTCCCATGTTACCAACATCCGGATTTCCGTTATTGTTGTTCGCGGACGCGGATTTCGAACTTGCGTTCGGTGGATTTCTCGATGGGAAAATATCAGAGTATGGCAAGGTTGAATTTTCCGATCCGTGAGGTTTGAGAGGTCCACCACCTCCTCCTCCTCCTCCACCACCACCGGGCGAAGAATATCCGAGGTCCGATTTGAAAGGATTGTTTTCATTTGGTTTGAGTTCTATGAGTCCTCCTCCCGCGTTGTGTCGGAGCAAATTAACGTTCGAGTACGTATAGGGTACCGGTGAAGGAGTGCTATTGGGTGAAGGGGGACCCGGTGAAGCTCCCGGATACATTGGGCTAACGTTTCCTCCGTACATGTAAGACACAGGACTCGCTTCTGACGGTTCGCGTTTAACTTGCAACATGTGGTATCCTCCATCTGGACTCACGCTTCCGACGAATGTCGATCCTACAAAAACAATAAAAATTATCATTATAAAAAAATACTCATTAGCAACACAAAAAAATTTACTATTTAACAATAATAATAATAATAATAAATAACCCACCTGTTTATAAATTTTCTTCTTGATAATAATAATAATTATTTCCCATCACCATTTATAAATTATTCCCATAACCGACAAACCCTTTTCGCATATATATTTTAAACGCGTTATTGATAACAAATTGATAAGGGAGGATCACGACACATGTGAAAAATAAATATTTGAGACAGGGGGTCATGGTATACAAAATATTTTACCCCAAAAACAATAACGTGAAGCAAAAAAAATGCCTTTTAAACCGCCCCCAGAAAAAAAAAAAAAAAAAAAAAAAAAAAAAGAAAACTACTCACTACTATCATCATCTTGTGGGGGTCTTAATATATTCTGGGGACTTGATTTTCCGCTATATTTTTGACGTTTTCGTCTCAATATCACCGGATCTATAAAAAAAATTAAATTTAAACAAAAAAAAATCTTTTAAAATAAATAAAAAAATTTATCCCCCCTCCCCTCTACAAATAAAAAAAAAAAAAAGAGAAAAAGACAATGATGATGATGATGATGATGATGCTGTGTTATGGCAGGTTTCATGAAGATGAGCATAGAATAATAATAATAATAAAAAAGAAAAGATTGAGAATCATCTCATTACTCTATTTAAATAATCTCACACAATATTTTTTTTAAATGCAAAAAAAAATTTTTTTTCTTTCCTTTTTTTTTTTTTTTTTACGTACAAAATATAAAAGTTTTTTTTTTTTTTTTTTTACATCACCAAGTCGTACAAATAAATATTATTATTTTGTGACGTCATCAATAAAATAACATTATCATTATTATTAATTAAATAAAAAAAATAATTTCTAATACAAATACTTTTTCAATATATAAAAAAAATTAAGCGCAACAATTTTTTTAACGAAAAAATTTCTTAAGCGACCTTTTTTCCATCATTATTATTATTATTACTATTATTATTATTATTAATTTTTTTCTTATTGTTTCCTCTCGCTTTGTAAACAATTAACAAAATAAATAAATAAAAGACTAGAAAAGAAAAAACAAAAAAAAAAAAACTAAAATAATTAAAAGTAAAAAAAAATAAACAACCGTAATGTAAAACAATCGTATCGAAACAACAACAACAGCAACAACAACAACCAACAAAAAAAAATAAATAAATAAAATAAAAATGAACGTTAATAATAATAATTATTCCGATTGAAAAAAATATAAAAAAAATTCAATTAATCTCTCAAGCGTTTTTTTTTCTTTCCATTTTTTTTTCCTCCATTTTTTAATTGACTAGATATTTTTGTAAAAAAAAAAAAAAAAAAACTTACAGTCGTGTATAAAAAACTACGTATAAAATACATTTTAAAAAATTATCATTATCATTATTATTATCATTATTAATTTTCCTTTTCGCGACAAATAAATGAATTAAGATATCAAATGAAACGACAAAAAATCTTCTAAATCTATTTTCAGCTTTATTTTTTTTAAAAAGAAATTTAACAACGTCACAATATTTTCCTCCTCGTTATGTAAAAATAACAATAATAATAATAATAATAATATATTATTATTTAAATCAAAAAGCTCGTCACGTTTTAGAAGGGGAAGGAAACCAATAATTTTCTAAAGTTTTCCCATACATATATATATATAATAATTGAAGAAAATAAAATTTTCTTTCTGCTGACACGTTAAATGTTGGTTTTTCTTCTTTTTTCGTGGATCCATTTTTCATCTCAACAATATCATTTAACAACAATTTCATTAATTTATTCTTATTATAAATATTTTCAAGAAAATACTTTTGTGTTAAAATCCCATAAAAATATTATTATCATCATTCTTTTGTTTAAATTTATAAAAATATATATTTATATATATATATTTTTTTTTTTTACTAAGTGACGTTTTGAGGTCTCGTAACGGTTTTCATTTCTATATCTTTTAATTTGTTGTTAAAATCGTTTCCCGTTAAAATTTTACCCTTTTCCACGGGACTGTAGTAAAAAGATATTTCGTCGAGTTCCGTCATGGACGCGTGGGGGGCTATGGAAGTGTACAGTGCGTAATTTTCCGCTTCCGTCAAATCCATGCCTAATTCTAAATCGTCTCGAGTCAATAGGTAACCTTCGCTTTCCTTTTCTACCTGATCCTTTTCGGTTTTCGCGGTTAGGTCGTCCGGAGACGACACCGCAAATCCATCTTTGTTCGGTTGATTTTCCAAACTTTGGTGAAACCATTTATTTAACGACTTTTCGTTCGCGGTTTTATTTTCTCCTACGTTTAAACTACTCTTGGAGGTGTTGAGAGTGTTCGGACTCGCGGGTTTGTGATCCGCGCTTTTAAGAGATTCCGAACTTTGACTCGTTTTCATTTTAACACTGTTAGGAACTTTATTTTTAGAAGAAAATAATTTTTGAAATAAATTTTGTTTCGTTTTTGTCGATTCCGGGGTTTTGGGCAAATCCTTATGGAGAGGACTGTCGTCCGGTCGCCTGGGTGGCGTTTTTTTAACCCTCTTCGGTGGCAACGGCGGTAATTTTTCCTCCATCGAACTCATTTTACTCATCAATTTGTTTTCGTTAATGTTGATTAATGGACCTTGTATGACAGGCACATCTTCGTAGCATCTGCTTTCCATCGATTCGATCGGATTTTTCATGGCGAGTTGCAAGCTAGTGTACGTTTGATTATCCCTAAAAGAGTCCCGACAGTCGACGGACATATTTTCCAAATGATTATCCAGTTCGGGATGAGATAAAATTAATTTTTCCCGGGTTTCAGCGTATATTTCATCGAGTTCGGCCACTTGAGTGATCAGATCGTTAAACGACTGCGAATTGTCGTTAGGTTCGGAATTGTTTTGAATTCCTTTTATTTCATTTTGACTGAATCGATCCTCCACATTTGAATTGTAAACCTCGTCAGGTCTTTTATTGCTTTCGTGTATTGATTGATTGTTTCCAGTTCTCATACTTTCCTTGTCATTAATGAAATTATTTCGTGGATTTTCTTGTTCTAATCGTTCCAAATTTTGCGTCTTCGCCACGGTTTTCGAATCCATCGTCGAATTGTCCTGATTTGGTACGACGACTAAACTACCTCCCGAAATAAGCGAGTCTTTTCTATTTCCAAAATCCGGCCTTTCAAGCAGGGGTTTCTTACCCTCGCAAACGGAATTTGCCGTTAGAGACTCGAATTTTCGTTTTTGCGTTTCGGGCGTGAGAGGAGCATTTTCGTTTAAAATTTTCGAGAAAGTGTTATAATCCCCTTTTTTAGATAAAACCCGTTTCAACGACCAAAATGTAGCCCTACCTGAGTCTAAAGGTATAAATTGAAAAGGTACGCTTTCACTAACAGCTCCATCGGATGGCCTCCTCAGCTGAACCCACACTTTAACCGGTTTTTCAACGTCAATATTTTTGTACTTGGGAGTCCGAAATGAAATAGCTACTTGTTTATGAACCTGCGTGGGTTGGAAATCACCTAAACCTTCCCAAAATAGATCTCCGTCACGCTCTTCGTAAAACCGAATTTGAATATCTTCTTTAGCAACTTTTTCACATAGTAAAATTATTTCCTTTCCCCCAGCTACCGATGCTGAGCAATCGCTTAATTTACATATTGTTAAGTCTGACATGGCTTCTGAAAGAGCATGAACAAAAAAAAATAAAAATTATTGAATCGTAATTAAAAATTCATTAATAAAAAAAAAAAAAAAAAAAAAAAAAAAACATACTTTTGTCATAAATAGGATCGGAGACGATTGGGCGTAAAGGTATTGTAAATTCCTCTTTTTTAGGACCTTCGAGAAACACTTGAAAACACAACCGAACGCTGTTAAGATCTATACTGCTTGGTTGAACCTTATGTGAGAAACCAGCTATAAAAGAAAAAAACAAATTAATTAAATTTCTGGAATCTCTTAAGGTATAATCAGGTATCAGGATAATTTAAAAAAAAACTCACTTCTAAACGGATCAACTCGAATTTCTTCTCTAACTTTAAGTGCTTCTTCTATATCTTTTTTTTTAACACATTGGATACCTAAATTAGAAAACGTTATCGTATCACTATTCATTTTGAGCGTGCAAACGCCTCTGCTGCAACCTTCTTTCCCAACTAAATTATGGGGATGAGGTCTGTAGGGAGCATCTTTGGTGACACAGGAAACTACCACCACTGCTCGACCGTTGTGGCCGACGATCTGTAAAAAAAAAATTTTTTTATTAATCACGTCGTGCAATTTTCGAATTCCAAAAAAAAAAAAAAAAAAAAAAAAATTCACCTGTATTCCGGGGTATGTTTTGTTTTCCGGCGTGGAATTGACTCCTGGTATGCTACCTGCTGACCTGCCCTCACATTCGTAGCGAAATCTCAATGCTTTCGAAGCAGGTTGCTCGATTATTTTAACGTAGGCTCTGGGCCTCCTCGAATCTGGCTCCCCGTTGTTAGGTAATGCTCCAGCATACATTTCGTCCGTTTCTATAACTTCGACTAGAATGTTTTTAAAAAAAAATTATTCATTCATCCTTAAATTAAAGATGGAAAAAAAAAAAAAAAATGAAACGGATATACTTACTGACATCACTTATATTGACACCCGAAGACCTTTCGGCATCCATAACTTTAGATTAGCCAAAAAATATCTGATATCATCTGAAAAAAAAAAAAAATCGTAAATTATTAAATTAATTTTGTAGAGAATATACGCATTTAATAAATATAAATAATAATAATAATAGCAAGGGGAAAATTTTAACCAAGACAAATAATACGAGAAGAATTAATTATGAAACTGAATAAATAATAATAATAATAATAAAACTCCATCGTTTTTTGTTTGTTTGCAAAAAGTTAATCCGTAGGTGTCCGACATAAAACCAACAACGTTCCACGATACCATTTTTTTTTTTTTTTTTAGGGGAATGAAAATTAGAAATTTCTCTAAGTTTTCCGGTAATTATAATTTTCTCGAAATACGGAAATGAATCGTCCCGAATGAAAATTATTGTCTACAATATAACTTTTACGAATCCCAAAATAAATTTAGAAATTATTTTTATTATTATTCGCATTAAAGTTTTTGTAAAGTTTGTTTTAAACAGTTCGTACCGGAAACGCCTTTTTCTTATTATAAAATTTTTAATCTAAATATTTTCTTCCGGGTCAAAATATTTAATTTTAAACACGTATATAAATGGTATAAAATCATTTGATATTTAAAATAACGTGAAAAACTATTTTAAAAAGGATTTGTGTCAGACACACATACACGCATATATGCGCGTGTATGTACACACGCACTACCAAACACTTAAATAAACTAAAAATTGTTTATTGTCAAAAAAAAAAAAAAAAAAAAAAAATGACGCATAACAAGAAGAAAGTTTAAATTACCATCTTTCTTCTACCTGAAGTTTTTTTTTCATGACACCAATTCTCACACCCTCAATGATTCATTACATTAAACAACTTTATAAGAGAAATTCATTCAAAAAAATAAACTTTTTTTTGCACCGAATTAATGCCTTTTTTTTAAAAAGTACCAACTACTATTTACATAATAACAAAAAAATTGACATTAATAAATAAGTGATAAATAATTTCAACCGAGATATTATTATTAATTTTTTACCAATTAACTAGTTTTAATTAAATTATACACTTATAAAATGGCGCACGCACACGCACACACACATACACACATATATTTTATGGGTTTATTTGCAATTTATCACGTACGCAATGAAACTTGAAAAGAACGTGTTTGATCATTGTACAAAAGATGAAAAACCCTCTGGCTTTAATTGAATGATATGCCCCCCCAAGAAAAAAAAAAAAAAATTAGAAAATTCAATTAAACTAATCGCGACGATTAATATTATTATTAATCTAAAAATATTTTTAAAAATTTTGCTCAACCTGGAAACCTGGAATCCGATGTTTCAAAAATTTCCCTCCCCCCTTTTTTTTCTGTAATTTTCAAGGAGGAAAATAATAATAATAATAATGATAAAAATCAGGAGAGTAAATAGAGGTTGTTCGAAATCGATTACAACTGACATTTGAAAATAAATTTTTACTTCCAAAGAACTCATGGGCTTGCGATTTACGAAAAAAAAATAAAAAAAATGGAGAAACGTGAAATTCTAATAAAAAAAAATTTCAATTACAATAAATTTTTCTTAGAATTTAACCCAAAATAATAATAATAATAAATTATCTAACTTGAATACGAATGCAATTAAATAATTTTCCCTCTTTTTTCCCTCTTTTTGTGTTTCTTTTATAAAATTCGTTAAAAATTTAATTTAAAAGTCAAATAAAAATTATTAGTAAGTGGTGATAATTATGAAAATTTCTAAAGAAGTAACATTTAAAATAATAAAAAAAAAAAAAAAAAAAAAAACTTCCTACAAAAGAAAATAAATAAATAACGTCAATGGTTTGTTTCATTCTCAAAAATATTAAAGTGCACGTGGTCGTGGTCCCTCGTTCATAGAAACAGACCATAGGGCACCAAATTATTGTGTAATTTGATCAAGATCACTTCCCCCCTCCCACTGCCCCCCAAAAAAAAACTCTAAATCTTGAATGATACAAAAAAACAAGAAATAAAAACTTTTGTAAAAGTATTGCACTATTGGGTAAGTGCCAAACCGAAACCTGTAAGGTATACACGTTGGGTATTTCCCTAAAACGCGAACTAATATGTGACTAATATGTTTCACGTGGGGGGGATTTCCAATCGTACCTAAATTAAAATTGCCCAGGAGTAGTAAAACTATTTTTAATTAATTATAATTTATATGTGACGTAAGAAGAAAAAGTTAATGAAACTAAAAAATAATAATATTATTTACGAAATAAAGCGGACGTGAAATTATATTATTGAATGATTTGTAAACGAAAAATTAATAATTTTCACTTTCATTCAAATTCAAACGGAATTAAAAAAAAAAAAGTGAACGTGTGTATATATGAAAAATTAACAGACCGTCACTTTCGTGACATTCGTAAACGTCACAATCATTTTTTTTTTCCGTTACATAATTTTAGTGTATTCTTCATTCAATACCTTTAAACATCATCATGAGGTCATTTAAAAACCTAAACAAGTTTAAATCCGGATTCCTAAATTCTATAAATAAATATGTGAATGAATGAATGAATGAATGAATGAATTTTTAAAAAGAAATGCAAATCACATATAATAATAATAATAAAAAATTCTTTCCCTATGCTTTGTTTTTTCTTTTCTTTTTGGAATTCTACCATTAAAACCTATAATTTTTTTTTTTAAATTTAAGATAATTAACACACAAACAGGTACAATGTATTGATAAGTTGATAAGTTTTTTACAGCAAACAATTTATAATGTTAAAAATGTTGTGAAAAATTGATTCGAGAAGTATAAACAATTTTAAAATATATCGACAACAACAAAAAAATAGTCAGGACAAAAACATTCTCGAAAAATATACTCAAAGCGATTATAAGTTAAAAAAAAAAACAAATGCACACAAAAGTTTTATAAAGTGTGTTTAATATTCAAGTCAAGAAGTAATAACAATAAAAAGCTAGGTTTTTTTTTTTTTTTTTTTTTTTTTGTAGCTGGGTCAATGGACAAGTTTTAATGTGAGTGATTCATCATTTAAATGATGAAATTTAACTAAGTTATTATTATATCTGTTTTAAAAATATTTTTCCTTTCCTTTTCTCGACAAATGTTTAAAATTATATATATATGTAAATAATTTTTTGTTTTTTGCTTTCAATGTTAGCATTAGTATTTATAAATAATTAAAACTTACGAGTAATAATAAAATTTTTGACTAAATTTATCCAATCGATACAAATACTTGCTTTTTTTCCTTTCATTCAATTTTTTTAAGCAATTTAAGGTATTTAAGTATTAAATAATAATAATAATAATAATAAAGCTAAGAAAATTTTAAACTAAATATTTGGAAAAAAATTAAATGGTAATTATTCGTATATAAATTTTAAATTAAACTAAGCTAATTGAACTTTCTTTTTTTTTTTTTCATGTTATTTAAAGTTGTGTACTCAATTAAACTGATACTAACAACTGCTAATTTGTTCTATTAAAATTGTTCTACAAGCTTAAAAACTAAAACAAATGAAAAAGAAATGAATGTTTAAAATTTTTTTAGTAACGAAAAAAAATTGAAAACAGGATGTTAAAAAAAAAAAGAAAAAAAATTTATAAAAAATTCATTACCTTATAAGTAAATTTTAATGTTTCATTGTTTTGAATTTTAACTAAATTTTAAAAATTATTTATTATTTATAATTTTAAAAAGGACAAAAATACTTTTTTTTTTTTTGTTGCCAATTAATAAATCTTTTAAATTTATTATCATTGAATTTTACTTAGAAATTTGACAGTTAACGTTTTTACAATTTTAATTCTTTAAAACTTGATGCTTAGATTAAATATTATTTTAAATTCTTTAAATGAAAATGATATAATAAAATTTGATAATTATTTTTAACCAAAAACTATTTTCATTTAGTTAAAGTATATAATTTTCAATAACTTAATGCGAAATATAATAATAATAATATATATGTATAAAAAATGAGAATCAATTAAACCAAACCACACGTTATAACAAATAGAATTACTTTAACGAAAATTATATACGTGTTTAAAATGCATTATCGATTAAAATTAAAAAATATTTATATAAATAAATATATATATACCTGAATTTTTTCCATCATTGCTACAAAAATTAAATACTTTGATTAATAGAGAGAGAGAGAGAGACAAGTACTACTCGAATAAAATTAAAATCTAAAACACTTTGTCACATACAAACCACATAAAGAACAAATAAATTATTATTATTATTATTTAACTAAATAACAACAAAACTTTTTCCACACGAGTTTAATAAAAATTGTAATTCTCCCCGAACCAGAGAAAACTCGACGTCTTTTAAACTACTGTTCTTATTTAAAATAAAATAAAATAATTTTAAAACATGGTCATCATGAATTTCTTAGAATAAATATTGATACCGTATAACGATTGGTTAAAACATTGTCACGTGACACTAACCCACGTGATTATCTGATTAAACTAAATGGCTCTTACTTTTTCTTATAAAAAAACCGTACGCAATTTTTTTTTTTTGCAAGTAATTACAGGACTATTTCTTTTTGAATATCAATTTACGCAAATTTAAAATATTTAATGGATTTTGAGAATTTTAAATTCTCGAAGAAAAAAAAAAACGTTATAAAACCTTTCGTTATAATTTATTTGTCGAACCGACCGGTGAGGGAAAGTAGGGATACAGAAAATTCTTTTGCAAATTTTTTTTTTTTTCGAATGCAAAACGACGTTGTAAAAAGTTGAGTAAAAGAAAAAAAAATCTAAAAATGGAAATCAGGTTTAATTTAAATATTGACAATTGAAATTTTAAGTTATTTTTTGTTTTTTCATAGTGAAATACTTAAATAAATATTATTATTATTTGAGGTTGACAAAAAAAAAATTATTGCCAATTAAAAATGAAATTGTAGAAAGCTTTAGAAAAATCTCTAATTTTTTTTTTTTTTTTTTTAATAAAATTTTATAAACTTAAATTATTATTTTCAAAATATTATTTCATTAAGTAGACAAAAAAAAATCATTTTTATTTATCGATTATGAAAAATTTTAACATTTTCCACCTACGACATTTCAAACAAACAAACAAACAACAAAATATAGTTTTTTTTTTTTTTACAATTCATTTAAACCTTATGAACAATTTTTAGTTTTTTTCTCTTTTATTTTTTTTGTAGGAAATAAAAGCAGACAGAAATTAAAAATTAAATTTTGTGCAATTGGAATAATTCCAACTAAAAACAGTTCAAAAATAAAGCAAAAATCACGAAACCGTTCAAACGGGATAAAAAAATTTTAACTCTCAATCTAATTGTAAAAAAATTAAAAAATTCTCAAACGAAAAAATCATTTCCCCCCATGTACCTTTCCCTCCCCCCAAACCTTTTATAAAGTTTAAAAAATTATTTAATTAAAATTAAAATTAAAATTAAAAAAAAAAAAAAAAAAAGATTTTCTAGTAGACACGAATCGTCCATTAGACTTAAAAATTTGGCGCCGTTAAATTTATTTTGTTTGACTCACCATTTTATACAAAAAAAAAAAAATCAATATTTATCGATCGATTTTAAATTAATTATATTATTATTATTATTATTTAAATAAAAATCATGCTTTGATTATATATACATCAACAATAACCCCCAAATCATTATAAAAAAAAAATTTTTAAACTTTTAGAAAGGGGGAAAATTTATTAATTCAAAAAAAAAAAAAAAAAAAAAAAAAAACGAAAAACTTTTAATAATTAAAAAAAAAATAATTTACGTAAATTAATGAATAATAAATAATAATAATAATGATGAATGTATTACGTTACCCCAAAACACAAAAAATAAATGCAAAATTACAACGTTTAACTCGTGTAATTTTTAAAAAAAAATGTTAATAATAATAATAAATTCACTCGGAAAATTAAAAAAATAAAATAAAATAAATTTTATATATAAATAAATAAAAATGTGGGGATCCTTACAAAACAAGTTATAAAAACGTCCCTGACGGGTTTAATAATAATTTTCAAAAAAAAAAAAAAAAAATTTTCAAATCGGGGTCCCCGTGACTCAGAATTTTCTCAAAAACAAAAAAAAAAAAAAAAAAAAAAAACAGCAGCAAAAAAAACTGTTGGGCATGGCAACAAGAGTCATTTAATTATATTGCATCGATCAAATTTTTTTTTTTTTTTTTTTTTTCACTTTCGTTACATGTATATTAATATTATTATTATTATTTCTTACAAATTTTGTTATACTAACTAGGAAGCACCATCAACAACAACAACAACAACAGCTGGAAAATGGATGGAAATATAAAAAAATTATTATTATTATTATAATTATTATTATTAAAAAAATATTTTTAACCAAGTTTTCAAAAAAAAATAATAATTGAAATTAAAAAGGACCTACTTTATACAATTTGACATAAAATTTTTATTTTTATACATATATATATTCTTTTTCAATAAAATATAATAATAATAATAATAATAGATCGTTCCAAATTAATTAATTTTAACAAATTAAGTGGTTTTATAATGTTTTTCATGTCATGTCTCGAGGGTAATTTTTATTTATCGTCTTTTCATTTGGTTTTTCTTTACCATAAATAAAATTATTTTTATATATATATTAATAAATAAATAACCTTATTATTATTATTATTATTAACACGTTTACACGTGTGTAAATATGATATTCGTTTCTTTTCATTTCATTTCACGTTTACTTACATAAAATTTTATTTTATTCTTTCATTTTTTTTTTTTCAATTAAAAAAATTTGTTATTATTTATTATTATTATTATTATTATTATTATTATTATTATTATTATTAA